GGTTGGGAAAAGGTCGCTAACATCAATCTATACGGAAGGTTATAAATGAATGGATCTTTTCAGGGGGGGGGGGGTGAAATATTCTGTGAAGCAAGGAATGAAGACTTTATTCAAATGAACTTTTTAACCCATTAAAGTGATAGCAAACCGCATGATGGTGTTCTCTTGTCTGAAAATGGTGACAATCTTGCCAAGTAAGAAGTCCATAAAAACTATTCCGATCCTTTCTCATCGGTCCCTTCATTCAGGATTGAGTAAAATACGCACAATAGTACTTTTTGCTTGATTGCGCAAAGAGATATACATTTATCATATGTGTAGCTCGCAATAATATTTATCACCTTATTTTCCTAGTGTTTAAATAGAAATCCTGTGCTTGCACACCTCATTGCTGTCTGATTTAATTTTAGACATCAGTGTGTTGACGTTGATGCACACCATATAATATAAAATAACTAGATGAAAGCTTCACACACATATAAATACTAGAAAAATGCAAATAATCTTAGCATCCTAACGGAGGTTTGTCATCCTTCACCTCTCCCTCATGCTATCTATATACAAATGCATCTCAGCTAAATTGCATTACTTTCGATAAATTCGATTTAGAGCAATTCAAGCTGGGCCTTTCCTAAGGAAAAGCCTAAAAAGAAAACCCCCAAATAACAACAAGAAACCGCAAAGAACCAACCCCAATAAACCCAACACGATGCTACCAAAATAAAAAACTCGCCACGTTCACGCGAAAAGGATGAAGAATTTGAATCGACCGAGAACAATTCCTCTCCTCTTGGGCACTCGGTTCTAAAGCAGCCCATCCCGATTGACTTTAGACATGCTGGAAGTGCTGATTATTTCGAAACTCCTCAAAAAGGGTAAACATGACATGCAGGGAATCAATGAGGGAGTTGTAGACGGGAATATCCAACAGCACGCAAAGCAGCCGCGCGTACTCCTCGAGTTCGAGGTCGATATTCGGCGAAGGGAGGTTGTGGTTTGCGTTGAGAAAGTCCTCGAATCCGGCGGGCCAGGCCTGGAGGAGCGCGTTGATATCTGGCATCGGCTTCGGGTAGTTCACCGTGGGGAGGGGCTTTTTGTAGTGGACGTTCTTGACGTCGTTGATCCATCGGTTGAGGACCTCCGGGCGGTTCGGGGCGTCCTCAAAGGAGTCCACGACCTGCGCGACGTCCCCGACGTGGGCGTTGGTCGCGCGCAGCTCGAGCAGGACGACGGCCGGGTTCGACTGCGGGATGGTGGGCTCATCGAGAAGATACAGCCCGAGCCCCTCAGGGCAGGCGTCCGAGCGGGGGATCTTCACGAAGGGATCCAACTCCCCCACCGCCGGGATGTAGTCCGGGATAAAGGGCAGCAGCTTCGCCGGCAGATCCGGGATCATGGGCTGGTAGTCGAGGATGTGCTTGAAAAGGTCCTGCATCGCGCGGCTGGCCTTGGCGTTGACC